CAGGGGGGTTGGAGATTCATGATCCTTGAGGTCCCTTCCAACCCTGGCAATTCTGTGATTCTGTGAGCCTACAGAGGGGAGGGGCATCAACTCTTTGGAAGGGTAGATAACTGCAGGACAAGGGGAAATGGTTTTAAGTTGAGGGAGGGGAGATTTAGATTAGACATCAGAGGGAAATTCTTTACAGAGTGGTGAGGCATTGGAACAGGCTGCCCAGAGAGGTTGTGGATGCCCCATCCCTGGAAGTGTTCAAGGCCGGATTGGATGGGGCCCTGGGCAGCCTGGTCTAGCATTAAATGAGGAGGTTGGTGGCCCTGCATGTGGCAGGGGGGTTGGAGATTCATGATCCTTGAGGTCCCTTTCAACCCTGGCCATTCTGTGATTCTGTGGAAGACAGTTGACGGATGTACAACATTCTCCAGCTCCTGCTAAAGGGCACTGCCACAAACTGGTGAAGATGGTTTGGGCAACCTCAGAAAAAAGGCATGGCAACTGATGAGGAGGGAGGGAATGCAGTGACCAGAGCCAGAAAGATCCTAGAACAATAAAGGGAATAATTTGCTTTGTCCTGCCATGATCATAGACTGCAGCTAGACTGAATTAAGGACTTCTTGCAGATAACCCCCAGGTTACACACAAACATACACAATAGGTGTTTTTCAACTGGATGCACACACAGTGGTGATGGGTCAGGTATTCTCCCAGTGGGTTTCAAGTCACACCAGCACAGAAAACAGATGCAGTCCCAGGCCAAACAATTTCTCAACTAAATTAAGTCTCTCTTTCAGTCAGATCCCAAATGGAAATGGCTGCAACATCTAATAGAAATGTGCTGAAAATGATAATGGAAATGGAGAAATCTTGCCCTTCTGAACAGCACAGCCATGGCAGCTTATCAGGGGGTCAAGAGCCAAGATCTCTCTTGAGAGTTGATACACAAGAACTTTAAATATTCTTTTTTTCTGGACTACATGATTATACTAATGAAAACTTTCTTATAAAATATGATTCTAAGCTGAAAATCTTACTAATGACTGATGCATACTAAGAAATTTAGATGGCAAATTAGCACAGATTCCCAGGAAAGCTGTGATTTGCCCAAAAACGAAGCTAAATGTTCATATTTTTATATAACTTCGACACTTTTGTAAACTATTTTCCACCACAGAATACATGAAAACATCATTATTGTTTTTGTGCGTGTGCCATTTAGATTCAACTTGTTCACATCTTGAGGTCTTATCTCTAACCTGGGAAAGGACCAAAGACAGAAAAAAAGGCAACAGCAATCACCAAAAGCATCAAATGAGCACAGAACAGCTAAATAGAATGGGAGTCCTCAGTCTAGACTGCTCTGAAAGGTCTGTAATTTTGAGTGGCACTGGATGGACGGATAGGGAAGGACAGGTACCTTGTACATGTCTGTTCCAATCAACAAGCAGAGGTCAGCAATGGGAACTAGGAAAGGGTAAGTGCAGAACAGGTGGGAGCAGACAGTTCTCCACACTACACCTCGTTAAGTTCAGAAGATTTCACTGACACATATTGGGAATGGTAAAAAATTATACACAGGTTCAAAACCAAATGCACAACTTCAAGGAAAAAAAATCCTTTGATTTTTGAGCTCTGCAAAATGCTTGTAAATTCACTTTTGCTAGCCTCCCTGAACCTCAAGTTTTCAACAGTACACTACAAAGGGTAAAGATTATGTATTTGCTCCATTTCTACGTTTTCTGTTATGTTTCAGAGGCTGGCAAACCTCTGGTTTACTCACAGATAGTCATTAATATACAGTTTTAAATCAACTTTAGGATTTCATACTAAAATGTTCCTGAGTTCATGATGAGTAAAGTAAAATCAGCTGCAATGCTCCCTGCTTTCATGGTATCTTCATGCCTTTTTAGTTTCACTGCTTACGATGATAGTTTGATTTACCATTATTATTTATCTTTCACTACCTCTGAATGTCTTATTGTCTGCTGTTAAGAAAACCCACCTGTAAATCCACCTCCTGCAGAAACTGTCTTTCAAGATCAGGGTATGTTGCTAACATGAAAATCCTGTCTTTGTGTTCCACAAGGATTAATACAGATGTGCATGTGTGGGAATTGTTTAGTCCAACTTCACAAGCAGGCTACAATACATTTATCAGGTAAGACATGACATAAATAGCCAATCATAAGTACTTGACATTTGATATTATTACAGGTTGGTGCCTTAGTTTCAGCTGGAATGAAATTGTTCTGTTCAGAGTGTTTGGTATGATGCTAAGTTTTGGTTCTAGGACAATTACAATGTTAATAACACACCAATTTTATAGTTGCTGCTAAGCAATGTTGTACAGAGCCAAGGCCATTTGCAGCAATGGGCCAAAGATGCTGGGTGGGAATAGAATTAGGACAGCTGACTTAAACTAGCCAAAGGGATATTCCATGCCATATGACACCAATGCAGAAGTTTTGAAGGGGGTGGGAATTCAGCTTTTAGTCTTCCACTGCTCTGAGGGCTAGCTGGGCATCTGGCATCTGTCAGGGTGGTGAGCGATTCCTTGTATTGTTATATATATATCGATATATCTAAACAAGAATATACATACAAAGAGAAGGATTATGATGTGCATGTCATAATTATCCTTTTCTTTTTCTCTATCTTAGTAAACAGTTTTATCTCAACCCACGCATTCCACTTTGTGGGTACTTTTTTTCAATTCTCTCCTCATCTCACTGGGAAGGGGTAGCAAACAACCATGTGGTGCAGAGCCACCTGCCAGGTTAAACCACAATAGTCATTTGTTCTGTATTGGCTCATCCTCTTTCATTCTGGAGAAGGCAAAAAAAATGAAAAAAGAAAAAAAAAAAGCTGCTTTTTTAATTCGATTTTCTTTTTCTTTTTATAAAATTCGGAGGGCAGCTCTTCATGCCCTTTTCACTTACGCATCATTTTCCTTCTCTGAGCAAGGGTAAGTTTCAGGTGCCACCCCCACACCTCAAGGCTGAAATTTCACCTACCACAGAGCATTCCTTTATCCAGTGACCTGTTATAAAAACTGGGCTCCTCATCAATACCTCTAGAGAATCTGACTTTTAGAAGTGGAGCCTCAAATCAATATTTAAGAATCTGTTTTACCATCTGTGGCAAGTTGCTGCAGCTTGTCACAAACCACAAGGGATGGTGCATTAGTGCTGAAAGGCAAAGCCAGATCAATAGCTAAGGATCAGTGGGTGGGAGCTTCACTATGGAGCTGCTTACATTAATGTAACTTTGCCAGTGAGTTTGTTAATAAAGAGAAATGGTGCTAAAAGAGCAAGGAAGTGAAAAAAATGCAGGGCTAATCTGGAGGAACAATCATCTTTAAACCTCAGTCTCACAAAGGCTTACTTGTTTAATGCTGTATGTTGTGAGCAATGCTGTGGAAGGTAATGGAACATGAAACTACTCCTGTACAGCCAAATTCATGCATAAGTCTTTTCGATCTTGATATACAAGGTGAGCAATAAGTAATTTTTTTTCCAGTGAACCAGGATCTTGAAAAAATAATGCTGATTTCAAGAGATATTGAAAAGCAGTATTTGTTGCTATTAAAAAATTAAGCAAACAAGACAGGAATTTTAATAGTCTGAATAATTAAAAGAATCTTACAGCAATTATTTGCTTTATCTATGTGTAGTTGGGGGAGAAAGGTTAATGAAACACCTCTTCAATCATAAATCATTCACCATTGCTTCAGGCTTTCCTTTCTTCCTACTGTTTGATAGCTGGAAGTACATAAATCAGTCTTTTTCTTACTCTGATTTAATTTTAACATATCTTGCATAACTGGAGGAAATACTATACAGACATAATTGTATTTCTGTAGAAGCATTTCCTCATCTTCATTGCCATATTTTGAATGTCTTTATTATACCTCCATATAAACTGAGCAGAATGGAAGCTCTGGAGCCCATGCTAAAGGCAGTCTTCTACCACATTTCAATGAGATTCCTGCACGAGGAAAGATCCAATCCAGCATGTATTTACTATGTGTAAAATTAGAATAACACATCCTCAGAAGCAGCCACAATTACAAAATTATCAGGATACAGGCACAGTTTTTCACTTGGCAAATAAAAGCGGCAATGAATATGTCTTTGTAGTGCACATTTAGAAAATAAATCCAGAAGTAGAATAAGGGGAACAAACTTTTATTAAAGCGTGGGATTAAATCATTATGGAAACTCAGATAAGTTCCCTTCCTGTCATTCAAAACCTTGCAGATTTTGCCCAAACGGACATTACTTTGACAGCGGCTTCTCAGTGCACAAAGGGAGAATGCTGGCTGTCTCTCTCTCAGATGGTAATTTGACATGAAACCAGATGCAGAAATAAAAAGCGTATTTCCAATGTAGAGCTCACATAAAAGAAAAACAAGTTGTCTCTTTTCCAGTCATACAATAAGCATCATTCATTTGAAAAGGTCAATATTAATTAGCAAATCCAGCAGGGATACTCTGTCACAGGCTTTTTGTGCTTCTGGTTGTTCTCTGTTGCAAATGAAAGATAATCCATATTCAGTTAGAAGTCTGAAAGCTGTCTTGTCTCTGCAATTGCAATCTCCCTTAAATGAATGATATTTACTAACCTTTTAACTTTTTAAATTCAACATGTTCAATTATATTCTCCCTAATTTCTGTTTTGGCTGCTTCCACAGTCCAGAATTCTGAAGTTTAAAATCAAGACAATCTCAAAAAAAAACACCAGTTAACTGCCAGACTGATGAGATGCTGTAATTTATCCTTGTGGAAGGGCTGGCACTTCCATGTCCAAATTTCAACTAAAAATGTGGTCAAGGGCTCTCATGGAAAGCAAAGGACACCACCACAAATTCTGGTCCCAAACCAAACCTGAAGTTCGATGTGCATTGCTCTGAAGATTGGCTTATACCTTTAAGACATCAATTAACTGTGTTATGGTTTTACAGCTCTAATGCTTTGCAACCTTCAGGAGGAGTCCAGAGAAGATGACTGCTAGGACTGCCTGTCATCTGTAAATGACCCTCTACTTCAAATAAGAGGGAAGGTGACCCCAAAGTTTCTATTTTAAAGACCACCATGGAAATAGAGGCAATAAATCTGAAACTGAACTTCCTTTTTCACTGAAATATTTTTTTCTAAATTTTGCACGTTGGTAATGGATAATTGGAAACAATTTTTTAGTCTACAAAGACATTAAGAAATGAACACTAAAAAAAATGCTTAAAGCAACATATGACATTTAAGCAGATTACATCTTCTAAAGTATGCAATAATTCTAAGATATTAAGGCTATTACACTGAATATCAATAAGAGTTATACTCCAGTGACTTAAATTTCCATGCTGCATAAATATACAGTTTCCATTTTCCTCTTAATTCTGAGCTTAGTAATTCTGACAAACTGTTGAAAAAGCCCTTCATTTCTTTCCAGCTTCACGTGCTCAAGCTGTTTTCTCTCACTGCTTCACTGCATGATATGTGGTGAAACAGCAATATGTACTTACCGAGTCTACAAGATGTTTGGAAGAATGTATCTCCCAGCACATTTATAAGGAATTCTGAACACAGTATTAGTGTGACAAAACAAATTAGCAACTATTCATTAATCAAACAGTTGTGCCTTAAATTTCTGCAAGAATTCTTCTTTCAGGAGAATCATAATGCATCAATAGCCTCTAACTTGTCTTCTTTGTTAACTGAATATTTTGTATGACAATTTCTGGAATTAGGGACAGGTTCCTCTGTTCTTTGGATGCTTCTAGGTGGCTGCTCTAACAATGAGATTATTTCAGCTGTTAGCTCCCCTAGTTTTCCAGCTCTCACAGATTCCCTGCATAGTGCCTTTATACATTGCACTGCACACGTTGCCTGAATTACACCTCAAAAAAAAAAAAACTCATTATCCCATATTATTTAGATGAATAGTTTAATATTGATATAAATATTAACCTTATTCCATAATATTTAAATGAATTCCCCATTTCTTGCTGCTGGAGTTTGACTTTCATAATCATTTTAAATCTTTACCTGTAACCCCATAGATTGCAAAAACACTCTCTTCCTCTAATGTTCTAAATAAGAAGGGTCATGAGTCTTTTTTTCTCCTCCTCTCCAGAAAATTTTGATGGAATTATCTCCCACTATTTGCCAAGTCTGACAATAAAATGAAGCATTATTATGTATGTATCTCTCCTACAGTTGCAGATTGGGCTCTCCTGGATATCCATTTGTAATGGCCACATATGTTTTGCTTCTGACTGCTCACCCAGCATTGTATGATCTATTAAAGAGGTGCAGTTTCAGGTAGTTTATTAGAAAAACAACATCTCATACCTTATCAGTATCTCAATGACCATTTAAAACTCAGCTACTGACCTGATATTCTTTCCATGCCTTATAGATGGATTTGGTAGTTTGAGACAGTTTTTCTGTGGGACAGAGGCCCCCACTACAACTCATCATACAGATTGGCAGCTTGCTAATAAATCTCAGCCCAGGCACCAAAGATAAGCAGATACAGAAGTCTCTTCCATGTCAGAGCCATGAATGATTAACGTGGAAAACCATGTAGTATTGCTGTCACTAATGCTGAACAGACAGATTTCACCACTGAATTTAGCAAAACAGAAATCTTCAACAACAATATAATTTATTAATATCCTGTGCCAGTGACTTCTACTACAGATATTAACTTTGACATTTATTTATACAGTATAAAACACAGTAATTACCCATAGCATGCTCTAATCTTGTGGAAATGGAGGGGCCCTTTCTCCAAAGGCTGCAAGAGATATTAGCCTAACCATAGAGACTTGTATAACAAAAGGTCTTGGAAAAGAATAAAACCAGAAGTTCACAACTTATCCTCAGCATCCGGGTATTTTTATACGTTTTATATTGGATCTTTTATCCCTAAAAATACATATGCTCATCACAACCTCAGAACAGCATCTGAAGTACAGATTGTCACGAAATGAGACTGACTGAAGAAAGTAGAGTTGCATGAGAGTTTACAGTGACTCTAGTCATAGCTATTTTGTTTGGAAAGTCATGCCAGTCATGAGTATGAAAGGCATGAAGACAAGTTGAGCTTGGAGAGTAAGGTGTCAATCATGCATGTGTACCATGTACAAAACAACAGTAAAGAGGAATCAGATGCAACAAGAATGTACTAGAGAGGTGATCATGCAAGCATTTGATTTCCCAGATTGTTTGATTCCAAGCATATATATCCCTTCCAGTTGCTACAGTCTTTACATCATTAGTTTTGCATGATTCTGAGATCTATACTGAAATCACTCCAATCAATGTCTCCCCCTTTTAATGCTTTGAAAGTTCTACTATTACCTTCTCAATTTTGTACTGTACATGCTCTACACACTTGGCTTCTCAATGAGCTTGACTTCAGCTCAGTGCAGCAATGCTACATTAAATGGCTATTTTCTAACTCACAGATCTGGAAAATAGGGTTTAATCAATGACCATTAGACCTTGCGCTCCCCTCTGGCATAAAATGCCTTCTTTCATCGAGGGTTACTGTATTCTTGTTTTAATAAGTTATGATTGGCACATGGCACTGAATTACAGGGGCAAGAAGGACATATTAGTAGGGAGAAATGAAAGTATTATGGGACAGGATAACTCACAACAATGCACCAGATCAGGCTATGCTTGCATTTTATTTCATAGTAATGATTCCTCCTACATGTACGAGGGCATAGAGCTAACGAAAGTAAAACAATTAAGAACTTGTCCTGAAAGTTTATTTTCTTATTTTATTGGAAATCACAACCTAAGAGGTTCTGAGCACGTGCAGTACTCCTTGCAGCCAAAAGGTCTTTTTAGCCTCTTTACTATATCTATTTCAGTTTAAAAAAATAACTGTGCTAAGTATATGCAGTGCTTAAATCTCACTTAAATCTTCAAGTATTTTCTTTTCCCTGTCCTGCAAATAAGGCCCACCTACCTCAAAAGGTTCAGATACAAACTGACTGATGACAATACCACTTACGTGACCCCGGCAATAAGAAAATTTCTCCCAGATTTCCTTCCCAGTGATCGAACATTGCCAAAGACAGTGAAGACTTGATTCTGTGAGATAAAAATGTTCTAGAAGTCCATCTATGAGAACACAATATGGTGTTTTTGGTTTTTGTTTCTAGATGTTTTTATTTAAGTTGCCTGATTTCTGAAGAAGCATCACAGAATCACAAACTTGTTGAGGATGGAAGGGATCAACACAAAGTACATCTGAAGTAAACATAAGGAAGGACTTACGCTTGGAATGTTTGTCACAGAGGGCTGATGCTCTCATGTCACAGAGTCTCAGGGAGCCTTTGCTGCTGCTGTAGACAAAGAGATTGCAGTGATGGGGATGAAACTCAGAGGCTGTAATTACTTCCGTCAGGTCCTCCATATTGGCTGGTTTTATATCTACAATGTCTGAATGGAAGTTTCATTAAGGAAAGTTGAGTTGTTTGCAGGTTATCTATGACTCTTACAGCCTTCTTGAAGGAAGCATAGTGACCTAAACAGCATCCATAAATTTAACACTCTTAGATAAAGATGTTCTAGATGGGGCATTTGTTTGCCTCATCCAGACAGAACTCAAACACCACTACTGGATAACAGTTTTACAGCAGATGCCATGAGTAGTCAACATTTGCCCATGCTGTGCACATACAGAAATCAAAGAAACAGTATTTCAGATTTGGAATTCCCACTTTCATTAAACTAAGACAGAGTAGGTAGCTAAATCTCCTGTATTTGGCATTGACATTACTGCCGTACCCCAGATAACACTGATGGATAGAGAACAATGTACAACTCAGATCTGCTCACTCCAGGAAAGGTTCGGTGGCTTTTATAAGCATGCATCTCAATCTAAACAGTATGAGTGCCTTAAGTTAAAAAGCCTCAAACAAGAAGCATGTATTTTTGCAAAGGTAAATGTGTACAAAACCAGAACTTAGGCAAATAATTTTGTGTACATATCTAATATTATCACTTACTTTCTAAAAAAAAAAAAAAAGGTTTTGCAAAACAAAACTGAGCACAGTGTTGATTTTACTGCCCAGACTCTAATACTTGCAAAGTATCAAAATTTCATTCTTTTCACAGAAAAGATGCTCACTACTGAAATCATTATTAATTTCTGTAATCAAGAACAATATGTCTGGATCATTTAAGTAGACATAATCTGGAACAAAAGAAACAACAAAAATGTAGTTTCCCAAGCACAGATCTGTCAGTTGGAACACCAGATATTATCCTCATTAATTATAACTCACTCAAGGCCTTCCCAATATTTATCCACCCATAAATGCTACCTACTTTGGTGAGTAACCTAGCAAGGATTTATTTTGAGGAGAAGGCCAGCCTGTGGAAGATTGCTGATAAAGAATGAAAGAGTCTCATGAGAAAGCTGTAAGAAAGCAATATATATAAAATGAAAGAAGAGTGCATATGTAAAGCAGTGTATTTAAATAAGATTGTGCATTTTCACATGGCCGTTAGCAATCCACTGTAGATAAGCCATCTAAATGTTAACAAATCCTTGGAAGATGAAGAAGAGTAACATTACTCTATTTTGCTGATGAGGCTCAGAGAGACAGAAAATGATTTGCATAAGGTCACATGGGAAATACACAACAGAACAAACTCAAATCTATTGAGCCCCACTTCAGTGCTCTAACCACAAATCATCTCAGTGCCTGGATTCCCCAAACATAAAATTTGAATCAGCTGACATTCAAAATTTAAACAACTCAGAGGATAAGATAAATGAGAAAATCTGTTTTACCAATGGCAAGAGAAATCACATCTGAGTGATACTAGGCTGGTTTCAGTTCCCTCTGTTCACATTTCCGAATGGAAGATTTTTAATTGATTTCTGCGGGAGTCGGGTTCAGTCCATCACCAACTTTATATTCTGTACTTTCATCTTTCCAAAAATGCAGATTTAGAGACACTACAGTAGAATTAGACATAACAATACAAAAGATTCAGAGATAATTATTTTGAGGACTTTGCATAGACAAATACCACACACTGACTATTTTACACCACATGGTTTTAAAAGCAAAGCATCAGCAAGATTATGAATACTTTGTGACATTCAGTAACAACTGGGAAATGAATTAATATTTCACTTCAACTGCATTCCCTCTTGTACTTTCACATCCATCTCCAATAATCCACCATGATTAATATTAGTGCAATGAATATTAAGATGTAGCTACACTGATTTTCCTAATCTTATAAATTATCACTAAATCATCTTGAAAATTAATAGGAAAAAAAATAACCTTTATTCAGTTACTTGTGTATCTGTCTCAAGAAGTACATCTAAGTGAAAGCAATTGTGTTCAGTGATTGAATTGCTTTCAGGAGTTCAGAGAAATTACAGTAACTCAATACAAGAATTTCACTTCTCAGCACAGAGATGAATAATTGCTGAGTGATGAGAAAGATATAAAAAATAAATAGAGTATGTGAACAGTCATGGTAAGTATCATTTTTCTGGATGCCGTAGACAATGTTGACGAATTTCCCTTCATTGTATAAAATGAATAACCCTATGCTGAATAATGAAATTAAGTATTCCATTTGCCTGCCAGAAAAACATAAAATACTTGAAACAGACTGTATTTCCAGATGTGATCTAAATCTCCACTGAGGAAAAAACTCATTGCCTACTGAGGATCACGAAGAAAACGCACCACAGGAAACTCATTGTTTCATCAGATTTAGAAAAAAAACAACTAACACTTGTATTAAAGGGAATAATCAAAGGAATAGAGAGCTGTGGAAGACACTTACTCCAAGCAATAGATGGAAAAACAGCTTTTGCTTTGACAGCTATAAAACCCAGTGTATCAATTGAAGCGCATGTCACACAAAAGAATATTTTCCTCCTCTTGTGATTTTTGCCATCTATCTGAAAACAATCAAATACAGCTTGACATGTGATGTGTGGGAACTGTATTTAAACTAGTATGACATGGGCAAGCATCTCCCATGAGACACTGCATTTCTATTTTTCCATCTTCCCTTTTTTCCCCCTTTTTAAACACAATGTCTCTCAGCAGGAAAATATCTAAAAACTTGGGCCAGACAATGTTCCTCAGAAATCTGCCATTTGGTGAACTAGAAGAGCTCAATAAAAAGGGTATTCAGCAGAAATTGATTAAATGAAAATTTCTTTGCTGAAGAGAAAAGTATTTTAATGTCACAAAGCTGTATAGCTACTCCTCAACTGATGGCTTTCCTTGCAATTTTATCTCATGGAAAGATGTCTGGATCAGATCGCAGTCCTTCTCCCTCAGTTCACTCACATGTCAAGTACCAATGTCACATCTGAGACCTAGTCTACCACATCATGTGATGCATTTCCAAGGTGCGCAAAAAAACCAGCGCTTTCAAAGAGAATGAATGACTTAACAGCCCACAATTGGCAGTGCACAGGGATATAACTGTTGTTCTTAAAAAAAAACAAAAAACAAAAAACAGACCCTAGTGCTACTGGGCCTGAACAGGGTAGGAATTTCCCTCAGAAAATGAGAAAGGTCTTCACACTGCTTTCTGGTGCCTTGGCAGCTATAGGGAATGCATTAGCAGAATTTTCAGTCCTTAACATTAGAACAAGTCTCTGTTCCTCCTATACCAACTATTTGCCACCTCCTTACATCCCAGGTGTCACCATTATTGCTTAAGGAAAAGCACAGTTAACAATGTGCAACAACACGCAGTTGGAGGAATGCAACCTGAGTGCAGAATTCAGTTACAGTGTATGATTAGCTGTATTCCATTTGTGTTGCTGTTGCACAGCTGATAATAAAATGAGGACAATAGGACAAAGACGATTTGTTCCACTGCCTCTGGGCCACTAGTCAAGCAGAAAAATGTGAGATGCCTCTGTGAGAAGCCGGTCCATAAAGTTTCTTTTAGTACAGGTTACAACCATAACCCTCACCTTGATCCAAAATATCTGTTGATCAGACTTCTCCATTTGATCAGCCAGAGTATACATGTGCATGTGTGCTTCATGCTCATGCCAAAACATGTATTACGAGACAGTGGAAAATACAGAGGGTTCCTGCTGAGCAAAAAAGGTTCCAGAATGAGTTTCCCTGTATGATAATGGATACACAGCTCTTTCCTCAAAACAGATTAAATTTCCTTTGAAGTGAACAGTATGCATAAAGAAACAGCTGCTTCATCTTCTAGAAACCAACAAGGAATACTATCAGAAACCAAATCTTGTAGATAACAAACTTACAACTCAGAAGATACAGCACATAAAGGACTTATTCCTAGTTGCATTCATTTGGATTCATTTTTGTATCTTCTGCATGTTCACTGAAGGAAGGAAATCACTGGTATATTCACATTCAGGCTGCAGAAAAGAATTTAACTGCATCTCAACTGCAATGCAGAAGAGAGGCTTTATTTAGGAAGTCAGACAGAATTTTCCTTAGTAACTTCATAAGAAAAAAAAGATCCTCTTTTTATTGCAATATATACTCTTTTGTCACTTTATTTTTACCCCTGAGTGGGATTTGTTTTCTTTTTAAATTTGTAAGCACTTTCAAAAAATAAAATTCAGCATAGCACACCCTTCCAAACCTGGCTATTCCTTGTGTTTTCCACAGAGGTCTGTTCCAGCTCCTAATTTTGTCTGCATCTCACACCTACATTCTAGCCTAGACCTAGAAATATTCGCTGACTAGAAGCTGAAATCAATAGCAATTCATGGAAGCTGCCAGGGCTTCAGTTTAGGGTAATTGATTGCTGTGGTCCTGTTGAGGCTCTACACTTTTAATATAAGCATTTCTCCAAGTGATTTCTTCTGTTAGTAATTTAGTGCACACCATTTTCATTATAAGGAGGGAACTGTGATGCTTACAAATCTAGCTGTACCAGTTTTACACTTCCTACATGGTGGTTATATCATTCCTATACCATGTGTCAACTGAGGGAATTCATTCCAAATGCCCACAGTTTTCTTGCAGGCTGATCAGCAGAGCAGGGAAGGATCAGGCCTCAGTATGCATGATGTGATTACATCAATTTACTATGAAAGACAGAAGAGAGACCTAACTTTTTAATATCTATCCTGTCATTGTTTCTTCTCATTCCTTAAAGATATAGTGTATGTTTACACTGTTGAAGGACAATTCTGCAATAGGCATGTCACAGCACTAAGGATGCTGCTGGATAGATTCCAGCTTTTTAATCTCTATCTTGCAGACCCTTTGTCCAAGAGTCAAGGATTTCTGGAATGAATTATCAATAGGTTAATGATTTTGGCCTGTTTGTCAAATTTCTGTCTCTTACCTTAGGCAGAGAGATGACCCAGTATTTATTCTCTAAGTACTCCTAATAGCCAATGTCAATGCTTTTTATCATGCAACATTTTCCCACTGCTCCACTAAAAGCAT